TATGGCGTTATTACAAGATTGTCGCGTTAATTTTTGTATTGGTAACTGTAAATACAGGTTTCGTCCAGATTAAACTTTATCTTTGTTCATAATTAATGTGTTAAATAATCAAATATATTGATGTGTTATAGTATTAAATACAAATAAAACTAAGATGCCTAAGAGCAACTCCAATCAAACCCCTACTTGAACTCTCATCCCACTTTGAGAGCTCAAACATATGAAAAAGCTCTCCAATCGAGTCCCTATTCAGCACCCGATGGATGCGGGACTCTCATTTCTCACTCCTAAACCCTCAGATGTGTAGAAGCCCCTCATCCTTCCTCCTATTCCCCCTTCCTCTCTTCCCATAAAGCTGACAAGTGGGACCGACGAACAGGACCCATGATAATACTGTAAGTGCAATCAAACCTTAATTATGCGTTTTGGTGATAATGACCATACGATTAGAGGACTAACGAGTTTTATCAAGATAACAAACAGGTAAAATAAGAACGAGGATAATACATGAGATGATGGAACCCCAGATTACAAAAAGATGCGGTGATGGACTCAAATGCGTTTAAATTTTCTCTTAAGGTTGATCTTGAGTCTAGGCGATGCCGCACTATAAAGAGAGATGCAATTCTAAGTGGTCTGAGGAAGATAGAGTGGTCAAGTATCTAATTAAAATCAATTGAGAGACACTCTAGCACTGCACGAACACTTAGATGCAGCTTTGAGAGTTTTGGTCGTCGGAAGTTCCGACTCTTCCCGGAAGTTCCGGGTGTCGGAAGTCCCAACAGGCGCCAGCAGTTCCGGCTCTTCCTGATCTCGCCTCAGCTAGTTTTTCTGTCCCCGGGAGTTTGCCGAAAGTCCCGGCTGCCGGAAGTCCTGGCAACCGCCGGAAGTCCCGACTGTCAGAAGTCCCGGCAACCGTCGGAAGTTCCAGCACTCCCGTTTAGCAGCTGGCCATCCCCGACGCGTGTGAACAGTGTTTTTCTTGGGTGCCGGAAGTTCTAGCGATCTACGTCGGAACTTCCGACACAGATCTGGGCGGGTGTATAAATATCACCCACCTCTTTTCTAACTGTTACCTCACTCACTTCCTCACGCCCAAACTTTAGAAAAACACCTCTCTAGCTCTCGAGGCTCTCTCCTCTCCACCTCTTTTCTCCTAGCTTCAAATCTTGCAAGAGTTTGAGTTGAGAGAAGAGATTTGGTGAGAGAAACATCAATTCAAAGTTTGAGCACTCGATTTCTTCGTTAAGCCGGTTGGATTTGCATTTGTTACTCTTGGGGCTTTGCCCCTAGCCGGCTTGGCGTTGCTCAAGAGCTCCCGATCTGTGGGAGAACCTTGGGAAGTTTATATCACCCTCTATTTTCTAGTGAAGAACTCGAGTTTACCTTTGTGGTTGCTTGAGAGAGGTAAAGAGGTGAAAGAGACTCCGACCTTAGTGTTCACCTCAACAACGAGGACGTAGGCAAGCCTTGGTGGTGAGCTGAACCTCGGGATAAATCCTTGTGTCCCGCGTGCTTGATGTTGTTGTGATTACTTGAAATTACTTGTTCTTCATTGTCTCTCTCCCTCAAGCTATTTCTTAGGTATTGGTCCCGATCTACATATTGGAGGTGTTCCAAGGGTAAGGATGTACCACATCATATTCATCTACATCTTAGGAAGTGGGGTAATTCACAGATTTACTTTTGAAGTCGATTTGATTCCAGTTTCGTAGCTTTCTGTAGGGGTCGGAACTTTTGGCAGTTTGCGTCGGAACTTCCGGGCATCGGAAGTCTTGGCAAACGTCGGAACTTCCAGGTGTCAAAAGTCCCGGCAAACGTCGGAACTTCCGACAGTGTGCTGATCCGTTGTTTTAGTTTTTGTTAAAGTTTTCAGATACGCCTATTCAACCCCCCTCTAGGCTTAGCAGGGATCCTTACAAATACAGTGTAAAGTAGTGAAAATTTAGGAGATCGGTTCGAGCGCGCTAAGAAGTAGAGGATAAAATATGGATGATGGGCTCTTATTTGAAGGAATAGGGGGCAAAATTTGAGGACTTGGTTAGAGTTGCTCTAATGCCTCGTTTGTATATCTTCGTATTCATATCAATCCACATGGTTGGATATATTGGGGTAGAATTTAAACTAATTTATATCCCAATCCACCTCATCATATGTGGAATGAGGTAGATACAAGGGTATCCAAACAGATCTAAAGTGGGACTAATCTACACACCACATTCCTAGGCAGCTAGGTGCTTGTTTGGATCCATTAGCACTAAAAATTAGCTAGCTAATAACTAATAGCTGCTAATTTTTAGCAGGAGACTATTTGGATCCCACAGCTAATAGGTGGTTGGATAGTGAGTTGAAGGTGTATATGAACTATTAGATCATCTCCAAAAGTTTTTCTAAAACTCACTCTATAAATCATCATTTGGAGAGCCATTTGCATAAAAATCGCTTTCTATATCTTTTCACTCTCCAATAGTTTTTCTATATCTTGTTTTCAATTTAGAGAGTCATTCTCGTTTTTTATCTTTAGCTAGCGAGAGATCCAGAATAGAAAATGATTATATTTGAAAAAACAATTAAAGAAGCTATGTGAAGGTATTTTTTTATCAAAATCTCTGTTCCTAGTAAGAGCATCTCCAAGAGATTCTTTATATCTTTTCTAATTTACAGGAATAGAGATTTTGGTGAAAAATTACTCTCCAATATCCTCTTCAATTTGATATCCAAATATAGATATCCTCTATTTTGAATTTCTCGCTAGTCAAAGATGGAGAGCGAGGATGGCTCTCTAGACTGCGCACAAGATATAGAAAAGCTGTTGGAGAATACAAAGATATAGGAAATGATTTTTACTTAAATGACTCTCCAAATGATAATTTAGAGAGTAGATTTTAGAAAGGCTCTTGAAGATGCTCTAAGTAGAAAGGATATAGAGAGTCTCTTGGAGCTGCTCTTAGAGCATTTCCAGCAATACGACCTAAAATAGACTACCTATTTCTCTGTTTAGGTAGCCACCTATTCTGAGAGTACCCATTTTTTGCTGTCGTCTCTAGCATTACTACCTAAAACAAACTATCTATTTTATTTTATCACATAGCATGTTGCCCCTCTATGATCTTCATTTCTCATGAACAACACACCATGAATAATCAAATAAATTCAAATACAACCATATAATCAAACAAATTAAAATTCAACCATATATAATCAAATAAAGTAGTTCAACCATAAATGAAGCACATAGTTCAAACATAATTAATCAAAGTAGGACACTACAAAGTTCAAACATACTTTCAACAATTGGAACACAATAAAACAAAGCTCAAATAGATGCATCGCCACCAAGTCATCATCTCCTGCAGCACAACTACCACCACTTGAACCACCAAGGCTTTGGGAGAACTTAGCCATCTTCTGCGTCGTGATTTGTGCCCTCGTTGCCAAGACATAATTCTTCTGCTCTATACTATCTAAAGTCTTAACATCACAAAACATTATCTTTTTCTCTTGTTCCCACATCAACCGTTTCTCCTCAACAGATATCCTACGCTCTTGAATTGTCTTGGCTTCTTGCCACCTCAAATCCATCATCTTCCTTTCCTATTTCTTCTCAACAAGCAATGCCTGAATAGAGTTGGTAGTTCATTGCCAACAACTAGATCGGAGCTGACATTCTCCCAAGACATGCAAAGTTGAATATCATCTTCTTGCGTATAGTTGGTAGTTCTCTTTTGGGGCTTCGATTGAGTGGATTGAACAGGCATGGACATAATCGAATCAACATTAGTGGCATCCAACATCAAATCTGTATACGTGCCTTAGTAATCCATTAGAAGCTAATTCAAATAGCCACAACAAACTAAGTCACACACCAATTTGCATTCGAACATGATATGAACAGAGAGGAGGAGGCGGCGGTACCGAGCAATCCAGGAAGCTGGGGCGACGCTAGTGGGGAGAAGGGTCGTGCGCCGGTGGGGAGCATCGGTAGGGAGCAGGGCGACGCCGGTGGTACGGACACGGGGTTGCTGGTGGGAGGAGGCTTCCCAGTCAGGACGCGGGGCTGTCGTTCGCGCCGGAGGGAGCAGGGGCGAGGAGGCTTCCCAGCGCGGAGGAGGCTTCCCGACGCGGAGGAAGACGACCGGCGCGACCTTCTTCTTCGTGAGGTCGATCGGGGAGACGACCCTCTAGATCCGACGGAGGAGGGCGCGGGCCGAGTCGGAGGAAGGGCGGCGCCAGTGAGGAGCAAGGAGCAGTGCTGGCGCCGGTCATCTTCCCGTCACTGGTGGAAGGGCATGGCAGCAGGGGAAGATTCGGGCACATGCGAGTGGGGTGAAACGACCGAATAGATTTTTAGCTGCCCATTTGTTGGGCCAACAAAAGTAGGTAGTGGGAGGGAGAATTTGTTATGCCAACAAATTTGGGTAGTTTGATGTGTAGCCTGCTGGAGTGTGTTTTTTTTCCTGTCCATTTGCCCTTTTTAGTCGGGTTATCAGTCGTACTTCAGCTTTTTCTCTCTCGTAGAAATACTATTGAATCAGCCGAAATCAACCGAAAAACCACCGGCCTTTGTCCCCACTACCCAATATAGGATAGGTAGCATGATTAAGTAGTTTACTGGAGTTGCTGTTATCACCTATTAGCAACTCTAAACCTGCTGATAGAACTCTTAGTTAGCCGTCCTTATTTAGTTAATAATTAACAGTTTTATTAGCAGCCCTGTTAGGATCCACCGGTGCTAATGTTAGCAGGTAATTTTTAGTGCTAATCCATTCAAACAGACTCGTCTCCGTCAGCCTTAAAAAAAAAAAAAAAAAAAAATAGCCTCCGCCGCCGCACCCGTTCCCCGTTTGCCGGCGTCGGCGTCGTCCATGGACGACCAAGGCCTCCTCTCTGAACCCCCCCTCCCCGTTGATCTTCAGCCTTTACAAACGGCACGGGGCACGAGTACGCTCGGGCGGAATGAGAAGCGCCGCCGGCTCACGCGGCCGTCACCGGCTTCCCCGATGGACCTCGACGACCCCCTCTCCGAGATCCTCCTCCGCCTGCCCCCGCTGCCGTCCTCGCTCCCCCGCGCGTCCCTCGTCTGCACCCGCTGGCGCCGCCTCGTCACCGACCCCAGCTTCTTGCGCCTCGGCGTCTTATTTGGAGGAGACAAAGATCTCTCCTTCAGCTTCTTCTTGGGCCCGCGGGACTCCGCCCCGCCGGAGCGCTTCTCCGTGTGCGTGCCACGCGAGTGCCACGAGGGCGGGGCCGGGGCCGGCCGCAATGACTGCATCTGGAAATTCTGGGGCTGCCGCCATGGGCGCGTGGTCCTCGCCAACCGCAGTGGCTATGGCTACGGCACCCGCCAGATCCTGGTGTGGAACCCCGTCACAGGGGAGGACCATCTCCTAGGAGTTTCGCAGTTCTCGGGTTCTAATCAGAGCCCGTACGGGTTACATATGCAAGCGGCAGTAATCTGTGCCTCCGGCCACAATGGACCCTTCAAGCTTGCTTTGGCGTGGGAGGACACTCAGGACAGGAGCGGCAGCGCACATATCTGCGTCTACTCGTCAGAGACCGGTGTATGGGGCAATGTCGCCTCCACAGCAATACTCAAGCCCTGGTTCATTGTTGGCCGTGGAAATGTCATGGTTGGGAACACTCTATACTGGATTCTATTTGGCGGTCGGGTTCGCATCCTTGAATTTGATTTGGATAGCCAGAACCTATCTGTGATAAAGGTGCCACAAGCCGCCAATGAATATGAAAACCATTGTGGCGTCTTCCTGTGTACGCTAGCAAAGGGTGGTGGCCTTAGTTTGATGGTTATGTCAGAGAACCTCAGAGGTCAACTTTGGGTGTGGGAGAAGACGGCTGATGGTGTTTTTCAATGGATGCTTGGAGGAACAATTGAACTGGACATGCTTCTTTCACTGAGATCAGAGGGGCACCAATCAATACTTTGGCTTGAAGGGGACGATAATGTCATGTTTGTGTCAACATATAAAGGCATCTTCATGGTCCATCTCCAGTCAATGCAGTTTGAGAAGATTTTCGAAACCGGTCCTGTCAGCTTCCATTCAAGTATCTACATGCTCCAGGTAATAGCTTACATTTACGTTGCTAATATACCAAACAAAAGCTTGGTTCTTTTCCTATAATTGCTTTATTGAATACCCAAAGTCTTTTAATGTCGGACTAACAATTGAAATTCAATCATATATTCATACTTGTAATATAACTTGGCTGCTTGATGAACTCTTAATACATTGTTTTGTTGTTCGGAGTTATTTTTCAGAATTACATACCTTAATGTTAGTTTTTCTTGTCTATGCCATATATGTGACTTGCACTAATATTTGCATTGCTATAGTATAAATCTCTTCATCCAGATGCATAACAGCTGGAAATTGGCAAGAGGCCAAGGCTTCAACCAACAGAAATGACAAATTAGTAACTCGATTGGCACATTTTATAGATTATAGTTTTTCAGACAATTCTTTTTCTCTAATAATCTTGGTATGATTCTAAAATCTTCAATTGTGACTCTCTGTTCTTACTATGTGAAATGACTGTTCGTTGCAACTTTTTGAACAGCCTTGCTTAATTGCTCTTAGTGACAAGTTCAGGCACACCGCAAAATTAATGAACCTAATTTTTATTTTTTTTGTCGGGATAACTTCATTAAGATTGCTGATTCGTGATCCCTTTAACTGTATGTTTTGGTTCATTTTAATTTTGTCTGCTATATATGGTTTAAAGTAAGCCCACTTAAAAGTAATTTGGCGTGATATGTCTTTTTCTTACAAGTATGAAATATGAATTATGTTTCTATAAAGTCTTGCTACTGTTTGTGATAGTAAGGTGATATAATGACATGCTGCTATACACCAACTACTTTGTTAGACAAACTGGCCCCGTTCGGCTTGCTGAAACTTGGCTGAAAGTGGCTGAAAAACATTGTTCTAGCTGAAATGTTGTCAGAGAAAAACACTGTTTCGGCTGAAAAAAGAAGCCGGACAAGCCGGATATAAGGTAAGCCGGATATCAGGTAGAGAGCACAGGAGAACTGAGGTGGGGAAGGTCATAGAGAGGATTCAGGAATAGGTTTCGGATTACAATTTTCTACACACCTCTCTACTCGATTCCTTCTACCTACACATATTCACACATATACACACCCTGCTAGATTAGGCCCATCTAGGGCGTGATTGGAAGCCTAGGCTTGCTCCTGGTCTGTGTCTTGCAACATCTTTCACTAGCTTGTTTCGTTGTCTGCACCGATCTTCTCAGCAAGGCCAACATGAACATCAAATCACCTTTAGCCAGGCTCCAGAGAAATGTAGATTGAGGGTGTTTCCCACAGGCTAGGGCGGCGCGGGAGGCAGGACTCAAAAGCACTACTTACACTTCGATGTTCACTCTTGTACATGCAGTATCTTTCGTTTTGTGGATGTTTGGTTGTGTGCAAGGGCTCAAGCCTAGCTCATTTAATACATGCAACCGAACAAACTTATTTTTAGTACTTTTGGCTCTAGCTAGCCTGACTCCCATGAGCCTGGTTGAGCAATCTGATACATAATGTTACCAATCACGTCCTATTTGACCTAGTTTGAACCGAGGTAATCAGCGTTAAGGTGACTGGATTCCCTTTGGTTACTTTTGTCCTCAGTTTCCTTTTTCTTGCAGGTGACATTTTGCATCAGGGAGGTGTAGGCAGCGGCGGAGTTCAAGGAAGAGGACAAGGGCATGGAGAAGACGGAGCCGACAGGTGGGTTCCGCATGTCAGCTTCATAGAGGGAGGAGCACATGGGCTCAAGCGGGGCGTTGCCCATGTGAGTTGGGAAGGACGTGGCCCGACCTGGTGAAAACTGAAAACAATAGTTTTGAAGGACAGCAAGAGTTGTCCTGATGGAGTTTAGGAATTTCTTTTTGGAGGTTGGTTTCAGACTCAAATTTGAATGAGTTTCAAATTCGGCTTGAGGGAGTTTATGTACCACCAGAGGTTCACACTCAAGCACTCAACGTGCACACAATTTGTATGTTTTGTTATGCAATTTCGAAATATTTTCAAAACCAACTTGGTTCCTGTTCTTGCAATTTAGATCCTATATTCACATCTAGCCTACTTGAATTGGTTTTTCTCCTCCTAACACGGCAACTAGAGTCTGCATCATAATAGATAGCATGGCGGATCCCACAACTATGAACCAGCTCCAGATTAACTTCCATCTGATGTCTCACACCTAGCAAAGCTGATCGATTCTCAGTTTCTGCATCTCTGAATCCTAGTTTGTTCTAGCCACCAAATCTGTGCATCTCTGAATCCTAGTTTGTTCTAGCCACCAAATCTGGCAAGTGTCCTTCCCCGCAGAGTACCTTCCAGTTGTCCTGGCTAGCACCAGCTTCACATCTGACCAAACTGCACCCTGAAAACAAATTGCATTCCTCAGTTTGCATATACTCCACTAGACAGCAGCACAACAAACATTTAAGATAAATATACTCTATGCCTTAAGCCTTATAGCAACAGATTCAATGTCCACCAATTTGTTTACCAAGGATCTCTGAAATCACCTGCCAAATGAAAAATGGTACAACACAGCATTCAAACCAAGACTGGATTGCTGCAGAGGCAACGTCTTAAATTATAAACCCTTTTCTTGTTTTTTGAGACACAGCGTTGCATATGTTGCAATAAAAAAAACTTTGCGTATGTTAATAACAGATCTGCAGGTTTTTTCCTAAAAAAACAAGTTACGGAAAAGGGGAAACTTTAGGTGCAAATGTCGAATATTACTGCATATATACTGATGAATATATTAGTGGATCCAAAGTGAACGATCACTCGAGAAAATTCAATAATGAAGAACGAAAAACTACAGACTAACTGACGATGACACTGAATATCACTGCATATAGCAGATACAGTAAGTGCTGATGGCTACTTGTTCGAGAGGGGAAAAAAGGTACTGATGGTTACACGCTAGACGCTACAGACCTAGAACGCGAAACTGAAACCAATACCAAACTAGAACATGATGTCTTCAGCCTTTCTTTGCAATAGATATAGTCAAGATCAACTATAGTCAAGAAGCCATCCCTTGCACATCTGCCACGGTCTCAAGACACGGTCTCTAATGCAGCTGCTAATTAGATATTATGTTCAAAAGAGAGTTCCTCTCATCATCAACATCAAGTAAGACATCTATCTCTGCATCGTCGATCAAAGTTTGTTTGAATGATTGCAATGTGGTGAAAAGGGCAGTGGAAAATCTGTTCCTATGGGATCAAGCTTCGAATCATTGCAATGCACAGGAAAATTTCTGCAGGGAAATAAATTCGAATGATACAGATCAATATTTAGCTTTTACCATAGTAGGGGCTTCCCCTATTGTATTCCCCTCAAAGAAATATTTAGCTTTTACAGAAGCAACAAAACTGAAACAAGACACCATTGAATAAAGCCTTCTCATATTGGTTAGCACTATAAAGTAAGTGGGCAAAGAATTCCAGCCTCAAATATCTACAATACAGCACTGTACATCTTTATGGTGTCATATAATCTGCACAAACCCTCATGCTATCACATACAACCAGAAATTGTGCTCCTCTGCAACAAGTTATGAAATCAGACACGCTACTTCACCTGAACGTGAAACGGTGAAAGATGATGGCAGAATTTCACAACATAAATGCTCTCATAGTCTCATGATCATGCAAACTGCGTACAATCTAGCGATGAGACATATTTTATCTATATCTTACACACATAAGCATGGGCTGACCTTGTTTATCAAAGAAGATGGCCAGCTGGGCATGATATAGGAATCAACAAAGTAGAGTAAACGACAGCTTTCCTTAAGGTGCAAAATTCACTTCGGCCTTTTCCAGGCAGGACAGGAAAACACTCAGGACACTGCGGCTCCCTGCAGGCTGCAGTAGACAACAGATGGGTAACATAATTGTCATTTCTGGCTTTTTGGCCATTGTCAAACATAAGTAAATAACAAATGAAAATGAAGTGTTGACAGGAGCTAACCAAAAAATAAGAGCTAAGCTAGGAGCTAGTTTTCTGCCCAGTGTGCAACAGGGAACATTGTCCCTCTGGTGTTAGAAATCTTGCCCTGCAGGAACACAGATAGCATATTAACAATGTATGTTGCCTAAAACAGAGAGTGGATCACAACACACTCCAATAAGAAAAGGGAAAAGCACATGCGCGAACAGTTGTATCCTCCATAAACTATCATGAAACCATATGGAGCACAAGAAGGTAATAAACAGATAAAATTAGCAGGATCCCAAAAATAACATAGATATATTGTCATTCTTACTTCTATAGCAAGCACTGACATAGAGGCACTAATTTCTTGGCCGCTACAAATTCAAAAACACTGCGATGTTTCATGCACTCACTATTGAACAACCATGAAGGAATGCAAGATAGTGAGAAAAGGCAAGGATGTGAAAAAACAAACCAATACCTCTGTTTTCACCATCTATGCACTCATCTTGATCTTCCATTCCATCAACAAAGAGCTATCAGAAACAGAGAAAAACAGATATAAAGAAATATAGCAATGCAATAACTGAAAATATAATTGGAGCTGAATATGTGGATTAGGCTGCCAAACTAGTAACATTGTCAACCTTTCAAAAACCTGAAGCACAAAGAAAAAGAATAAAACCATCTCTCCTAACCAGTGCAAAATCATTAGCTGCTAGCAATGCAGGTTCCAACTTACAAGTATCTCAACAGTCTACACTATTTTTTAAATCATGCTCCTTGGAAACATCTCCATTGCAACCTGAAAACAGATGCTAAAATGTGGGTGCTTGCTGCTGCAACCATTAAAGAGAGACCTACCTTTGGCAGCTAAAATAAGAAGGCAAAACAATTAGTACATAATAAATCAGCTGCTTTGCATGCCTAAACAGTCTCGTTTTTGCACATAACTGAATAGGCAATCTAGGATATCAATCTTCCTCAAGCTGCAAGAATTGAATCTGTAAGATGCAAGTAGCATTGATAAAACTGGTTGCAAAGAACATGTGGAAAACAGATAGAAAAATTGAGATATATCATGTGAGCAAAGAAAAAAAATCACAGGATGCAGCCTATGTCAAAAGACATCAAGAACTGGGATAAACAAAAGCCCATGTCAACAGGAGAAACAGAATCCTAATTTTGTGGGCTACAGAATCATCACTAAACCATTTCTTCCAAAAGGAGCTCTTCTTCCTCTCTTCTTCTTTGCTCAGCCTCTCTCTTCTCGTTCTTCTTTCTTGTCTCCTCACCTATAGCATTAGCAATGGCGATAGGTAACCAAAATCCAGGCCTTTCGAGAAACTGGGCTCGGTGCAGAATCATTGCATCACGTTCTGTCACACCAATGCCCTCAAATGTCCACAAGGAAACAGTGGCAGTGCCTTTAAGGCCCAAGGAGTACCATCCAAGGCCAGAAACAGCAATGTCCATACTGTTGACATCCCAGCTTACCCCAGAAACCTCAATATGTCTTTCTGTCCAGTGACCCAATTCATTGACTCGCTCTGGACCAATTGGAGGCTGAACAGAAACAACATATGAATCAGTATGATACACAGAAAAGGGCAAAGTATGTATATTTTCTTTTCATGATTCTATGATAGATGCAAAACTCCAGTTACAATTGCATTGGACACAGCACATAAAAGCAGGTTTGTTTATTCAATTAACGTAAGGCATGTGCTGTTTTCCAATAAGGTAACCTTACTACCAAGTAATCTGGAAGTGCTCTTCTGTTAAAGATAGCTAATCGTGTCATTACAAGAGGTCTCCACAAGGTTAGAACAGATTTACCTGAAGTCTGATGCCGAAATGTTTCTCTCGCAATTCATCAGCATTTTCAGTCTTTCCAAGATGGAGGGGAACATTGGAAGATGCCCAAACAGTTATGTAGATAGTTTGTGCTGATGATTTTAGCACATCCAGCCGTGTTAAGCCTCCAATATGGACAGATTGTCCTACCTGCAATCGTTTACAGCCATTAACTCTGCTGGGAAACTAACATGAATAATACCATCGTCTTACAAAGTTTTATTTCAAGACACAAATGCTAGGTGTGGATTTCAGGTTTCTCTCTTGGTGATAGAAGCATGGACTTTGACATACTAATCATATTATAATGTCAGTGATATGCCTCTAGTAAAGGAACAAGAGCATGTGGCTTATTTCAAATATAATGATCATGTCCATTTAACAGATTGCACAAAACAGTCCTTTCCAATTACATCCAGTTATGGGACCTTGTAGATATGAAGTCCATAAATGACAGAACTAGTAACAAAGCCACTTACTTTCACCCTGAAGGATCGTGGCCGCAATTCTTTCCTTATTTCAACCATCTTCCGTTCCTCATTATTTAATCTCATTGCCATTATGTAAGGATGCAACAGGCCAGGAGTGTCATACATCTTTGCCTTTGCAGGTAAAACACCTGTTACCCTCAATATGCCTAATGTTGTTCCTGGGACAGCAGCTTCAGTCAATCTTGTGATCTTAACACCCTGTTTCTTTGCAAAAGCATTGATCAGCGTAGATTTCCCAGCATTCTGTGCACCAATCACCCAAACATTGCTACGAGGTCCTGCTGACTCCTTGATGTACGAAATTAGGTTTCTAACAGCCAAATCTCTGTGGACGCTGATCAAGAACACAGCATCTAGCTTGGGTGCTCCAAAAGCCTTAGCACGACCACGAACCCACCTATCCAACCGCACTCCCATTTGTTGCCATGGAAGCAAATCCACCTTTGTACCAACAAGAACAAGCCTTGGTGTTTCGCTCACCTTTGAATTCCTCCTTTCTTCAAGTGCCTCGAACAACGACTTGGCAGCTAGCTTCGGAAACGACCCATCAAAGTCTGCGCAGTCCACCACCATGACGATGACCGGGGTGCCAGCCGACCGCTTCATAAGCCGAGACGAAATGAACCGATCGAAATCAAAGTCTGGAATCAGGTTCTCAGCTTTGTCGTTGTTCACAAGCCCATAATTCCTCAGCGAGTGGCACCGGCTACAGACGAGGGCCGAGTCCTCCTCGGCCTCAGCCCTCTTGGACTCCCTCGCCCGGCGCTTCCTCTCGGACTTAGACAGCTTTTCTTTCTTCAGCCTCTGGATCGTCTCCTCTGTGATGTTCCCGTAACCGACACCCGGCAGGGTGAAGCCGTCCAGTTCTTTCCTCCATTTCTCATCCTCGTCTTCTTCCATCTCCTCCCAATCAGAGTCCCAATCACTGGCGAAACCATCAATATCAGTGGCAGCCTTCGCCTGTGAGCCATCCTCTTCGCCCCCCTCCTAGATTTCTTCAAGGAACTCATCGATATCGCTGTCCAGGCCCTCCAATTCAGCATCCGACGCGTCCTCCGCCACCCCCTCCTCCTCATCTTCAAGAAACGCATCCGTGTCGGCGGCCAGGAGCACTTCTCCACCTCCTCCCGTCTCGCCCTGGGAGCTGCGGGAGGGGTTCTTGAAGAAGCCAGGAAGGTTGGGATCCTCATCCTGCATGAAGACCCCGCATCCAGGACACACAGGCCGGCCGACGGTGGCGTCCTCGTCATCCCTGCCCTCGCTGATGACCGGGGCCGGCAGCCTGCTACGCCTGCCGGCGGGTACGGCGGAGGCGGAAAGGCTGCGTCTTTGGGGCAGGAATGGCCGGGGGAGGAAGGGGAGGAGGCGGGGAGGTGGAGCTGGCGGGGAGAGGAGGCGGAAGGGAAGACGAGCCGCTGCGGCGGCGGGGATTGAGAGGAGGGGTTTAGCAGCCATTCGGCAGCTGCAGCGGCGAAGAGGATAGGACATAGGAGTGTTCGGTCCAATTTTTTACTCGAAAGCGTGGGACTGCTTCTATAGTCTTTCAGCTTATTTTCTTTCATAGAACATTATTGATTTAACCAAAATCGACTGAAATAAGAAAAAAAATGATCAACCGAACAAGCTTATTTCTTGGCTGTTTTTTTCTTTATTTTTTCTTGTGTGCCGGAGAGTCTCTTCTAGGAGTAATAATAATCATATGATTCTTTCAATCCTTCGGATGCTGAAAAAAACATCTACAATTATAGATAAGTGGAAGAATTTTTCCCAACAACAACAATCATGATGAGATTGGTAATTAGCAGTTAAAATATATAAGAGTATCACACTTAACTGTACACACAGCACACGAAATTTGGGTGATGAAGCTAAAAATTGTGGAAAATTTAAGCTTATTTTGGTATATCACTAGAAAATGTCGAGATAAAAAATATGGATTGCAGATTTCACTGTCACAGAAGTTTGTTGCCCACCTGCATTGTGTAGGCAATGTGCTTACACGTGATCTTTTAGAGTATCTTCAAAAGCTACTTAAAAATTAGTGGTAAACTAATATTTATATCAAGTAAATAAAATGAAAAAAACAGGGAGGGGGCTGCGCGAAATTCGGGTGAAGGAGATAGATAAAGTGCGGAACGTGTGCATATTTGTGAATTGAGTAGGAAATTTATGAAGTACTTATTTACAAAGTTTAGATTAAAAGAACTATTGGAATTTTTTTCCCTTTTACTAAAATTGAATTCGAAGTTGGCCAAAGGAACCAACGCCTAGTGGGCGGATCGACCTGTTTAGGCGAGTGTGTCCCAGACGAGTCTAACACCCAAACACGCCTAATGGAGATTTTGATACTTCACTTTACAAAACAGAGAAGAGAAGAATGAAGTAGACTAGTGTCGGTGTTTCGAACCGCCGACTAGTAAATTTGTATTTGCGCGTATGGCCCGGATGGTGAGTTCGGAGGACACAAGGATTTATACTAGTTCGGGCGGAATGTCCATACGTCCAGTCTGGGGCTGTTTGAGTTACCGGCTCAAGTTTGCAGTAGAGGTTACAAACAGACGAGAGAGGGAGAGGCTTCCAAGTCTCTGCTGAATCGAGTGAAAAGGGTTGAGTTTTGATCCCCCTTTTGTTGGGGTGCCCTGCCTCCCCTTTTTATACGTCAAGGAGAGGGCAGAGGTTACATGGGGGAGAGAGGGGGGGGAAGGAAAACAGGTCCTCCAAGGTCACGTCGTCCTTCTCCTCCGTGTGTGGGCCCCGCTGATCCTGTAGAGGTCGACTAGGGTGGATCCGTATCGTGGCGTAGGTTCTGGTAGGGCGTGGCTCCATGTCGTGGCATGGAGACTGATGGCGGCGGCTTCTCGTTGCGGCCCCACTCGCTATGGGCCCCGTGCGGGCGTCAACAGCTGGTTGCGGGCGCCCCACCCCGTCCCGGCGGGCGTCGTGGGCAACAGGCCTCCCTGTCGAAGGGCGTACGGTGGTCTAGGCAGCATGGTGTTGGCCCATCCAACAGCGTTGCCTTGTGCAGCGCCGTCTTGCGCCTCCATGCATGGCCCGTCGCGCCCGTGAGTCACGTCAAGACGTGCCTGCGCCCTTCTTGGTGTCAGAAGTTTGACCCTGGTCCTGCGCCTTCACGTCCGCAGCGACGGGGGGGGCAGTGCAGACCCACATGGGGCCCAAGCTTATGCCTGGGTCGGGCGAGGCGGAATTCGCCCCTCGTGGGGTCGAACGAGACAAAGCTTGCCCCCCTGGGGTAGGGCTAGGCGGAACTCGTCCCCTGGGGTCGGATGAGACGGAGCTCGCCCCCCTAGGGTCGGGCGAGGCAGAACTCGCCTCCCCTGGGGTCGGATGAGACGGAGCTCGCCCCCCTGGGGTCGGGCGAGGCGGAACTCGCCCCCCGTGGGGTCGGACGAGACGGAGCTCACCCCCTGGGGTCGGATGAGACGGAGCTCGCCACGGAACTCGTCTTTAATCATCCAAGGGGCTAGCGCTTATGGCGATCAACTCACTTGTTCTGGGTATCCAAAATATTGATACCCGACAGTAGCCCCCGAGCCTATGGGGGATTGGAATACTCCTTCAGAGGCTGCCTCGGGCAAAAGAACCCTGATCGCGCTGGCCTTTCTGGTCTCCAACCCTTCCCCGAGGTCCGGTCGACTTGGCGTTCGTCTGCGATCGTGCACTGGGTCTCTTTGCGAGTCCAACCCCTGAGCCCCCGCGCGTAGCAGGGGTCTAATCAAGGGGTTGGCTCGTCTTGTGATCGTCTCCCCTCAAGTGTTTTTTTGACAAAATGGAGGGGTTGAGCCGTGCCATGTTTTCCTCGCTGGACGAATCATGGTGCTCGGTGAGCTGCTGGCGGGCTAGTTCGAGTGGGGCCCTGATCCCCGTTCGTGGGGGTCCGGCATGGGTCAGCTGGTGACCGACTCCAGATTCCTGGTGGCCACTTGAAAGGTCCTAATAGCTAGAGGGGGTGAATAGCATATTAAAAAAATTCTACAACAACACTTAACAAACCGGTTAGACAATTATGAGGCGAAGCAAGTGTTGCACTAGCCTACTAAAAATGCAAGCCACCTACCACAATTCTAGTTTCTATAGTTTCTTTTCACACAATGACTACGTCACTACACTAAGTTAGTGTGCTCTCAAAGACTAACTAAAGAGCCACACTAACCGAACTAACAAGCTCTCACAACTAGCTACACTAAAGAGCTTGATAACTAGTTTGTGGTAATGCAAAGAGAGAGAGTAAGATGGTTATGCCGCCATGTTGAGGAATGAACCAATTAATCACAAGAATCAATATCAATGAAGACCAATCACCTCGGAATCAAATGATGACACAATAATTTTTTTTGCCGAGGTTCACTTGCTTGCCGACAAGCTAGTCCTCGTTGTGGCGATTCACTCACTTAAAGGTTCACGCGCTAATTGGCATCACACGCCAAACCCTCAATAGGGTGCCACACAACCAACACAAGATGAGGATCACACAAGCCATGAGTAATTCACTAGAGTGCCTTTTGGCTCTCCGCCGGGAAAAGGTCAAGAACCCCTCACAATCACCACGATCGGAGACGGAGACAATCACCAACCTCCGCTCGACGATCCTCGCTGCACTAAGCCATCTAGGTGGCGGCAACCACCATGAGTAACAAGCGAATCCCATAGCGAAACACGAACACCAAGTGCCTCTAAATGCAAACACTCAAGCAATGCACTTGGATTCACTCCCAATCTCACAAAAATGTTGAATCAATGATGGAGATGAGTGGGAGGGCTTTGGCTAAGCTCACAAGGTTGCTATGTCAATGCAAATGGCCAAGAGAGTGAGCTAGAGCCGGCCATGGGGCTTAAATAGAAGCCCCCACAAATAGAGCCGTTGTACCCCTTCACTGGGCACTGCTCGGGGTGACCGGACGCTCTGGTCAGATCGACCGGACGCAGGACCCCAACGTCCGGTCGCCCGATGCTTGCCACGTGTCATTGGCTTCAAACGCTGATCATTCGATCTTAACGGTCATCAGTACATTTAAGTAGTGACCGGACGCGCTACTCAAAGTGACCAAACGCAGGACCCTAGCGTCCGGTCGTTTACAGTAAGCATCCACTCATGATCGGACGCATCCGGTCATGCCCGACCGGACTCACCCAGCGTCCGGTCACTCACTGTCTCCTCTGTGCGCTACCACATCAGTAGGACCGGACACACCCCGCCAGCGTCCGGTCACGAAGTGACCCAGCGTTCGGTCAAAGACCGACGCCAGCGTCTTCACTGCTTCCACTGATCGGACGCTCCGGTCCAGTTGAGACCAGCATCCGGTGCACTCTATGAAATCCTATCTTTTTTGTACAGGGCACCGGTGGCACTGTCGGACTATCCGCACTCTACGGGCGGACACTCCACCGGTGAAGTTTCGAACCCTTACTCAAATGTGCCAACCACCAAGTGTATCACCTTGTGCACATGTGTTAGCATATTTTCATAAACATTTTCAAGGGTGTTAGCACTCCACTAGATCCTAAATGCATATGCAATGAGTTAGAGCATTTAGTGGCACTTTGATAACCTCATTTCGATACGAGTTTCATCCCTCTTAATAGTATGGCTATCAATCCTAAATGTGATCACACTCGCTAAGTGTCTTGATCACCGAAACAAAATGGCTCCTACCATTTATACATTTGCCTTGAGCCTTTTGTTTCTCTTTCTTCTTTTCCAAGTCCAAGCACTTGATCATCACCATGGCAACACCATCATCATATCATGATCTTCATTTGCTTCACCACTTGGAATGTGCTACCTATCTCATGATCACTTTGATAAACTAGGTTAGCACTTAGGGTTTCATCAATTACCAAAACCAAATTAGAGCTTTCACCAATCCATATAGTTCCCGGGTCCGTTCGACTGGTCCCGATGGCTCATTGCCTTTCTTCGAGGAAAAACCATAGACCGTGCGCTGCCAAGACTCGAACGTGGGCCAGGATGCCCGTGGCGCTTGCGCGCTTGGGTACTTTCCCTAAGGTCTGGCCAACTTTGTGTTTGTCTGCGACTACGCACTGGGTCTCTTTGCGAGTCCAACCCCCGAGCCCCCATGCGTAGCAGGGGTCCGATCAAGGGGTCGGCTCATCTTGTGATAGTTTCCCCTCAAGCGTTATTTCGAGAAAACGGAGGGGTTGAGCCGTGCCATATTTTCCTCGCTGGACGAATCGTGGTGCTCGGTGAGCTGCTAGCGGGCTAGTTCGAGTGGGGCCCCGGTCCCCGTTCATGGGGGTCCGGCATGGGTCAGCTGGTGACCGACTCTAGATTCCTGGCGGCCAGTCCATATAGTTCTCGGGTCCATTCGACCGGTCCTGAGGGCTCATTGCCTTTCTTTGAGGAAAAACCATGGACCATGCGCGCCCAAGACTCGAACGCGGGCCGGGATGCCCGTGGCACTTGCGCTCTCGGGTAT